AAAAAAAAAATTGTAGCGCGATGAACAATGTCGCGCTGCGCGACACTGTTCATATCGTCGGAGTAGTGCGAAAATGTAGCTCAACATTGAAGCGAGTTTTTTGCACTACTTTGAAGTAGAGTAGCATTGTAGCGCAACATTGTACTTGCTCTAAACGTGTCTTAACTACTTTCATGATTTGACTTGTTTGTGCTAAGAATCTTATCACACACTGGTTCTGAGACAAAAGATGATAACATTAGTCAGGACAAAATAATTTGAAAGGAGTCATTGTCCATTTAATGTAGAGAATATTCGGAAAAGTCGTGTTGGGTGTTATACTGATATGAATACTTTCAAGAGTGATAATTCTGTTAGGAAAATAGGGAAGGTGACATTAAAAAAAAAAAGAAAAGAAAAATGAAAGTGAACACTGCGTTCGTGACTTGAATTTCTACTAATTATAATTGTTTAATGTTATTCTTTCGTTTAAAATTATAATCGTGTGTGGTTGATTATCGGAGATAAGTGCCAATGAGCTAATTGTATATTATTTAAAATTCTTACGACACTTTCTTGACGTGTATCTTTTGTGTTCTACACACAGGGAACCCAGTATCACAATGCAGTTCAGAAGTTCATTGATGTATGCAAGCTAAACGAGCAAGCTTGAAAGCCTATTTGCAATCTGGTATGCCGAAAATTCTGGGATTACTCGACTTGGAAAAGAATTTTGTTGCCATTATTTCATTTGTTTCCTTGTTAATGTTGATGTATCTATTCTAATTCCTATCTGTTTAATCAAGAAGCTTGCTTCTTACAAACTCATGTTTAACTTGCAATGTATTGTAGATTAGTATTTCACTGTTCATCTCGATGTTGCTAAATATTTCCTAATCGTTAGACAACCATACTTTCTTACTACAAAAAATGCATATATTTATTATAAAATTCGTACTTTTATTTATATTATATTTTAAAGTACGATGTTAAGAGTGAAAATGTCTCGTCCTTAAAACAAAACTATAGTTCTATATAAGGAAAAAGGGTTGGTACTTTGATGGCCCAACTCAAAGACCGGCCCAAAATGGGAACTTGGGCTATAAATCGAAACCACCATAGATGAGCCGAATCCAATTCAATAGTTTGTCTTAGACCCATCAAATTGGATCCAGATGGATCGGACCCATTAGCCAAATTTAGTCTGTATAGAGTTTTTTGTACACTCGCATGATTAGTGTTGTTAAATTAAACGAGTCTGGCTCGGCTCGAGTTCGAAGCCTTAATGAGCGGAGTTCGAGCTCATTTAAAGCTCGTTTGGTTAATAGCTCGGCTCGATAAGGCTCGTAAGGTTCAAAAAGAGATTTTTTGTATAATTTTTATAATTCGACTCGTTAAAGATCGAGATCGGCTCGAGCTCGAGGATCGATTTTTTGCTCGTATATTTAACAAGTCGAGCTCGGCTGGTCAAGTGCTCAATCTCGAGCACCTTAAGCTTGAGTTCGACTCAATTCGTTTGCAACACTGATATCTTTTGTCCCCTCAATCGACGGTTCAGATTCGTTCTTATAACCTCGAGCATGTTGCCCAAAACATTTCGCTTTCTCATTGGCCAAACGTGGGACCTACCTGCCGGCTCCCTGTAAGTTAAAAGGTTAAAATGTGTTTGAAGGTTTGGATTTTTGCATAGAGAATCTTCGTTCCGCCATAGGTAAGGAGAAAAAATAAAATAAAATAAAATAAAAAACGTATTTGAAGATAATTTTGATTTTGCTAAACAATTCATAGCCTCACATCTTTTGCTCAGGTTAATTTCTTCTCACTTGACACCGAATACAGTAAATAAGGTTATCAGTAAGTTTATTGATTATTCGAAAAATTACTTATATTATAAACGTCTAAATCATAGTTATAAAAAACAGTAAGATTCTAGTCATGAAGTTAGTGCTCTCACTTGAGCTGTTAAACGAAAGAGCCAAACGAGGCGAGCTCAAGTTCGTTTAAATGTCATTTCGTTAACGAGTTCTGCTTGACTCGATAAAGTTTGAAAAATATATATATATTTCTATAATTCAGTTCGTTCGAACTCGACTCGTTAGTTTTCATAAACGAGTTGAGATCTATCTCGATTTCTAGCTCATTTACTAGCTCGGCTCTTTAAGCGATCGAACTCGCGCTCTGATCTCGACTCGCTTACAGGCCCAAATAAATTAGTGTTGTCATCGGTAAGAAACGAATTTTATGTTATCATGAAAGAGTTCTACATGATTTTGGTTGGCTAATTGGGTATGAGTAGTCAATCTTTAATAGTTATTATCAATTTTTTAATTTCACGCCACAATAGAAGATTTAGTAGGTACACATTTTACGGCTTTAGTCTTCATTGGATCTTTGGTACGTTTTAGTCCACAAGCTCTAGTATACATAGGTTGATTTTTTCTTCACTAATTTCACGTTTTTATCTGTATCATGTATTATATTCGTGTCCTGAAATCAGACGAAATGAAACTACAATTTTAAATGTTGTTGATATCTTCGTAATTAATATTTTAAAATGTTTATTAATTTATGAATTCAATAATGGTCTGAAATATCATATTATATTTAATTTATTTAATGAAAATATATTAAAGCATGGTTCAAATCGATTATCCAATGTGCTAACCATGGTGCTTATTTGTATTTATAATAGTTAAATTTTATTTATAAGTAGACTTAACATATGAAAAGATGCAATTAAGTCCTACTAATTATACCATATATTAAAAAATAAAAAATCATAAGATTGCATTTGTGACTTTGTGAATCGTAATCAGTATATATTGTGACTTTTGTCTTAAAGTCTCCAACTTATACTACATTGATCCTAGTAATCTACTCAATCTTTGATTTCAAAATTTAGTAGCATTCATTTTCTTACTACAATTTTTTCTCTTATTCATACATACACAAATAAAATATTATAAAGGCAAAATTGTATTCTTAATCCTGCTGGTTAAAAGACGTAGCATTTTTAGTCCTATCTTTTCAATTACTAATTAAAAATTCATCCAAAAGATTTTTTATTAGCAATTTAAATTATGTTACATTTTCAGTCTCAAATGACTGAGTTGCGCTGAATTTTAAAATCACAGGACCAAATAGCAAAATTGTTCAATTTTTAGGACTAAAAACGCCACTGGATCAAACCAACATGACTAAAATTGCAATTTTTGGCTATTATAAATTATACACATTAATGATGTAATATTTATATATATACACCGTAGATAATGTAATTTTCTTACATTTTAAATATAAATAAAATATTATAAATACCTTGTAAAATGTGCATATTACATTTTGTAAATTTTATCGTTAGCAAAAATGAACAATACGAATATAAACTATTTTACTTACATATGGACTAAACTATAATAATTGCATAAAATGAAAAGAATAATATAATTTCTCTAATTTTTTAAGTGGTTTACTATGCCATTGAAACTAAATAGATAATTCTGATTTTTACAAAATTTGTCTAATAAGATGAAACAAAAAATAATATTGATTTTAAAATAAATATTTTAAGGAAAAAAGTTTTGCAAGAGAATTTGTTTACTAGTATATAACTTCCATATACTCTTTAGTATGAAATTTAATTTACTTAATATTATTAGTTGATATTATATGATAATATATTGAAAAAAAATATAATAATGCTTAATTATCAAATTATATATATGTATTAAGAAAAATGACACATGATGAATGATTTAATCCAAGCGTCAAACTCGATAATTTCTAGAATAGTGTTTGTAATATTTTATTTAATTTTTTCTTTGTCGTTCTTTTTTTTTTA